AAACGATAACATTTTTACACAAGTAATTTTATATTGTAAATCAGAAATTTAAAATTCAAAATTGTTTATCGAATACATATGTAATACACAGTATTATAATAATATGTTTAAGCGTAATTGCGTGTTAATAAGTATATTTTATTACCTAACCATCGATCACTGTGGATTGAACAATGGATATTACATTCGTATTGTCGAGACAAATATTACGACCTTCAGGAATGGGCAAGATATATTTTATAAATAGACATTGCGATATTATATACTATAATACATGTTGTAATAGAGCGATCTGACAAAAAAAAATTTGTAAAAATTATATCAATAACAAATAATTTAAAAAATAGGTACCTTCAGGAAATGCTGAACATTATGAAGAAAAGTTATCAAGTTTTTAATTAATTTACCCATAAAAAAAAAAAATTAAAAACTTTTAAAAAAATTAAAAAAATTCTAAAAAATAAACTACTTGACATAGATAAATGTTTTTAATATAAAAGTTGTTTTCATAATCAGATTAAAAAATTGGCTATTTTGAAATTTTCCAAAAAATTTGAATCAAATTTAAAAATTTTCATTTTCAGTTTCAAGAAACAAAATTCTATAAATATAGTGAAAGTGTTAATAAATTAAACAAAAAATCCCACAATGTTTTGCCAATGATTTACCCCTTGTGTATATAGGTACTCTGTTCAGTGTTCAACTTATGGGTACACCGTCGGTGGATGAAAATTGAAAACACGTTGTGTCCTTGGATGACTTCCACACTAACGGTAATCGGTATTACTGCATCTGTTCAAGAAAGTGTTGTTTTTCAGTGCTCTAATGCTCAGAAAAATTACTAGTCAACGTACATCAATATCAGTTGCTTATGCGCAAACCGCTGTACCTACTCTAATTAAGTTGAATAGTGTTTAATATATAAAGTCGAAGTATAGTATTATTGGATTAATACTTCAAAAACTAATTCCTAATACTATTTACGTAGGTACCTAGCTAAACAGCAGAATCCGCAAAATCACTAAAAGGAAAAAATAAAAAAAAAAATATTATTTTAACATTCTTTAAACAATTTCACGATTGTATTAATATGTTATTAATAATTAATTATCTTGACAATAATAATATCAGCATCTTTTCAATATTTTAAAATATATGTTTTATCCGAATTCAACGCGAAATATAAAAATTGTATTATATTATTATGATTTTGTATTTCACACAATATGTTATGTAGGTACAATATGTCAGATAGGACATAGATGTACTGTACAAATGTCTGTCAAACACTAATTATAGTTGATGGCTTGAGACTCTATATGTATGACGTCCCAATGTGGTGTGCGGGTGTGTGTGTAGTTGTCGTTGCACATAAAAATGCATGTAAACGATGTCAAACAATACGCGGCAGGCCTGTTGAATTACTATTGGTTTTCTGACAAACCGTTGTCAAGCATTTGATATCGTACCATAATAATAATACCTATGTTGATCGTACATGCATTATAATGATATGATACGCTCGCCATATGCACCACTCGAACAACAACAATATTACCCGATCGCTAATCGTGCCGTACAAAAATATTGTATTGTCAAAACGTTAATCATGTTTTTTCGATTCAGAGGGGCACAGGGTGAAACCTCTGCAGACGCCTATCGTATTGTCACTATCGTCACCGTCATCGTCACCGTAATATTATAATACAGGGATCATATTTTATGCAAACGGGAATCGCGGGTGTATAATGCGTGACCTTTGAACGCATCGAAGGCTCAAACAATGTGTGATTGCAAAGGCGTGAAACGACGGTTTTTTTTTTTGATTTTGCCCGCGTGCACAACATACCGTTTAAAAAGGGTCCCGAATGTCGGGCGCATTGTGTGGTCTGTTGAATTGATTTGGGGCTCCGGAAAGCAACATTAGATTACCGATTGTACTTATATATAGTAGTAATACAAAAACAAGTAATCCACTGCCCCCGCAAAATTTTTCTCAGTCGTAACTGACTTCGAGTTAAAAGTTTAAATATAGGTATACCGTATGTTTGACGGTGTGTGTGTGTGTGTTTTTGTGGGGTTGTAGGCGGTGAATGGTAGTGATCATTTTTGTTTCCGAACAATTTTTGTTCGTCTTGCTCGTAGTCAAGTTCGTTTGTCAACACGCATAAAAAACCTTCATAATAGCCATTAGGTATATGTTATTCTAACTATGACAAATCGATGCTTTTTATTTGTTTTCTGAAGAGGGGGGGGGGCTTGTTTTTTTCTACAGAAAATACTCTCACGAAAAGTAAGTGATCCGAATTCAAAATTCTCATTTTAATTTAAAGTTACAAACATGCCTAGCTTATGTGGAAGTAATGCAACCATAAGAACAAATATGGGTGAAAAATATTATAATCGTGTAAAAAACAAAAATTCACGACCAAAGGAGCGATCGTATTATCGTTATTATTAGTCTGGAGGTAGTGAAAAGTAATATAATTAAACACGGTATTCACTTCAGCTTTGAATTTTTCGATTATACGCGCCACAATTTATTATTACAAACATTAATTATTACTCGTTGGATTCAAACTAAACGGCTCGAAGTAAGGTTTTATTGACTTTTATTGAAACAATTGGATATTTTTAATTGAACATTTCAAACAATACATTTATTATTATTGTTCGTACTTTATAGGTATCAGCCTCGGAGACTTCCTATTATGGTTAATTTTCCGATAATGTGTTGAATATACTACGACGTTTTAACAAAGTCAATAACGTATTCGACATTTTACTGAGTCGAAAATACACGAAAGCATTTAAATCACTAAAGATTTACTTTGGTCATAATATTGTACATACCACTATACTCTAAAGTGTTTATATTAAAAATGAATAAATGTGATTTTGAGTTTGAAATAGTTTACTCTAATAAGGATTGTTAGCGCAAAAAAGGAGAAACTATTTTCAAAGTATTATCGCCTTTGAAAATTGGAATAAACTAAATTACAATACAAATAGGTAGTCCACGTTTTCAGTTTTAGCTGTTTTGATTGTAACAGTGTTTCGTTTAAACTATACATATTTATGGCTAATGATTTAATTTCTTAAATAGTAATTTATAAATTAACGTTTGATTGGGAAATTAATTTTTTGGATAGTAATTATGTTTTTAATATAAGTATACCGAAGTAATAGATTTTTAATATTCATATGCAAGATTTTAATTAAATCATTGAGAAATAACATAATTCTATACGAGCCTTAAACGTTGTTGTACTCAATTAATGTATATTCCATTGGTGAACTATGCAAGAAACATTTGTTTTAACATCAAAATACCAAAAGTGATTTTTTATTAAAATCAATGATGGGATTTTAATTTTGATAAATATGGAAATTTGATAATTACACAAAGGCAACACGAATCGAAACAGTTATCGGAACATATCAAGTTGATTTGGAGACTTTGGACAACGCAGGTATCTAATGTGAGCATTCATCGATTTCAAAAAATAATGGTGGAATTTTCACAAAAGTCTCATAAACTTCCAAATGTAAGCTTTTGGAATTCTAGTTGTGCTACTGCAAATAAGCGTTGAACGTTTTTTCTGGTTGCTCAAGTTTATTTTATTAACTTATTGAAACAAAATATGTTTATAACAAACTTAGAAGATCTGTTGATAATTTAACTAACTAAAAATTATTCAGCGAAATAATAATTATAAAATAAAAATGTACTATTACTTAATGGTATTTTATTTAAAAGTAAAAAAATTATATTAATATTATAGTTGTATTTATTTTATATGCAAAAAAATCAATCGTTTCAACATTATGCAAAAAAAAAAATGGTTTGTGTACAGTTTTAGAAAAGAAAAGTAAACAAGGTTCTTACTGAGTGGGAGATATTAAATCAAATTATGCTAACTCCAAAATAATATAATTATTTCAGTTTTAAAATAATGAGTAATGACCAATAAATAAAAATTGAGAATTCACAACTCAGCATGCAAGTACGACTGTATAAAGGAAGATATTTATACAAAAGTATTAATACTTTGTTTTCGTTGTTTACGTTGTTTACAGTTTTCCTTTTTTTAATCGAAATCAGTAATTTTAGTGTTTTGTAAATTACAACGTACTGTAGGTAAGTACATACTACACTAAGCTACAAAAAAGATAAAATACAAGTTTTTCAAAAGCTAAAATCAATAAATACATAATATAAATATGGAACTAATAAAATAAAATATTAGATAGGAACACTACATTCATCGTGATTTATTTTGGAAAATATAATTCCTACGATATTCTCTTGTAAGTATATTTTATTGTTTTATAATATATTATATATTTTTAAATCTTAATAAAATGTATCTGGATCTTAATAATATCTGGAATTGTAATTAATTGAATTCAATGCTCTGTGTAACAACAGTTTTATTATTATACCTGGACGGCCAGTGTCATATTATTACTTATATAGTTATATTTTGTCTACATCTTAAATCATCTGATAGCCTGAATTACAAAATAATATAACATATTTTGTTCTAAGTTGTATTGTGAGTTTATTATTAAATACAGACATTTGTAAAAACTTATAATAATTATTTTGCGTAATGTAATATATTATATTTCTACCTTATACATTAATAAATACACAATATGACTCAACACCAATGACGACCACATACGGGTGTAATAAATATAAATGCCATCTAATAAATATAAAATAATTTATCTTCCATAATCATAAATAACAATAAGATATTAAACTACCGAAACCAATATCCGTCAAAGCACTAACCGACAAAGAAAAGATAACGCCGCATATAATTAAAAATAATATCATCGACAACAGAGCAATAAAAAACTACGAAATCTGAAATAATATTATTTTTTCGATCATAAATAACACAGCACTATATAAAATATAAAATATAATATATATAAACTATTTGTTCTTCTAAACGAGGCCCTTAAAAATGTACTAACTTCTCTTATTGTTCCAATGGTATTTCTTATAGTTTGAAGCTTTGATGAGTCGCTTAACACAAGATTAAGAGAATGTGACAGACAATGTGTTTATGAATAGCTGATGGATATTCTTTTGATATTAATGCCTGGATTCCATGAAATGCACCTCTCATAGCCGCAGCTCCATCATAGTCTTGCCCTCTTAGGTTCTTCAAATCAAGTCCAAAATACATGAGTTCTTTTTTCATTGTATCAGCTAAACCTTTTCCAGATATATCGGTTACAGGAAAAAATTTTAGAAAGTCTTCCCCAACTTCATTTGGTTCATCATCCACATACCGGAGACATAGAGAAAACTGTTCAATACCTTGCACATCTGAGGTTTTGTCAGCAAGAACAGTAAAAAATATAGATTTTTTAACTCTATAAATTATATAATTTTGAATAGGTAGTAGATTCAATCCAATTAATGTTATGATCTCATTTTGAATCAAGGGACTAGTATACATTTGTTCAGTGCTTGAACTTAAGATATGCGACTTGAGAATATCATCTCCACTTCGTGCTCTAAAACGTAGTACTGCTCTAAAGTTTCCATCATTATTTTCAGGTTCATTTAAACTTAAACGTCCATAGTCTTTATGACCTCTATACGGAAGTTCTTGTCTGCCGCAAAATATTATTGTTTCAATAATTGAATACAACTTTTAATAATTTTCAATGTTTTCTTTTTTAATTTGCTTATGTACTTGAAAATCGACAGCGTCTTTTTCACTATCAAATGTTAAAGAAAATTGTTAGATTTCATCATCGCAAGTTTATGATATTGTAAATTACTATGTGTTGAAAAAACATTTTTAGCTGATTTCCAATTCTGAAATGGTTTTAATACAAGTTGTTCAACTTGTAGATTTGAACCTTTACCAACAGAACTTACTGGACCAAATAAAACACAGTTCTTACAAAAAGCTCCATTTAAAGATTTTGAATATGCCAGCTACTTAAATTCACCCAACCAAGATTTATGAAAATGCCGCTTCTTATCTTTTGTTATCTGAATGAATAAGTCAGTAAAAGAATTTGGAGTCCATGTTTTCCTCAAGAGCTTTTCTTTAAGTACATAAAGTTCTGATTTTTTTTTTGTCACATACACACCAATATCAGTACTATTGTCTAATATACGTCCATAAGTACACAAAATATTTGCACAAGTAGATTCCTAATAAAATAAAAATATATTAAAACAAACTACTTTACTCTGACTAATAAATATATTTTAGTTGATTCATATTGTCATCAGTATCAATACTATTGGCCAATAAACGTTCATCAGTACACAGAATATTTGCACAAATAGATTCCTAATAAAATATAAATATATTAAAACAAACTTCTTTACTCTGGCTAATAAATATATTTTACTTGATTCATATTGTCATCAATTATAATATCTGTGTTACAAATCTGACCAATAGACCTCTTCATGGTTGAACAAGATCTCTAAAATAAACAAATAAATTAGGTTAACAAGTTAATTGATTAAAAATAATAATACTTCTACTAAAAATAAATTATTACACCAGCCTCCACCAGATTTTTTAAAATTTTTTTATTATACATTTATTTGTAAATGTATACAATAGTCTAGTACTCAGTAGGTTTTACTTCAAAATTACCAGGCGGCAGGCTTATAACTAATTATTTGAAATTTAAAATGTAGATATACATATTATTAAACTTTGTATTATAAGTAGACTTAGTGTAGGGGCTTACACAAAAATAGAGACTGGCCTTCTTATAAAACATCATTTGCTTGAAGTTACCTTATTTAAAACTTGAGTATCTCCCATGCATAGTAGCCTTTTACAGTTTCACTTGTTTCCTAGTGTCTAGAATTTATTGCTTAACATTAAAATTAATAAAAAGAATTATTAAAAACTATAAAATACATTATTATGGTAAACCTATGTAGGTCCTACCTATTTTTTAAATTTAAAAAATAATGATACTTAGGACTCTGCTTTATACATAAATAAATATTTTTACTGTGACTAGATAATTTAATTTAGTAAAGTGATAAATTTGTTTCATATTATTTGTAATAAAATAAGCATTACATGATATTACATATTTTTAGTTATTTAATAACTAACTTGTTGTAACATGTAATATGTTGATACATTTTAATTTTTAATAAATGAAAAAAAAAAGATATTACATATTTTTACATATTTCTCAATAATTCTATTTTTTCCAACATATTTGTACAATTTTGATCCTACATCAGAAGTTTTTATTCAAAAAGTGCTAAAATTATTGAGCAAAAATGATATAAAAAATAATTTAATTTATATTTATATTTGTTTGTCAATTTTGAAAAATACATACTGTATTAAATAACATATTCATGTACATATTTTGGTCATATAAATGTATATTTTTGTATTACTAACACATATTAATCCGAATCCTAATCTTGTACTTTTGTTCACACTTATTTGCAACAAATATTATACTGTATGTTTAAGTTAATAATTATATAATAATATAATAACATTTAACAGGTACTTACTTCACTTGATTGACGAGGAACAGACAAAAAGGTTTTCAATTTTTCTTTGAAACTCATGTTGAAACTTGAAATCAACAATACAGACACAGTTTTTAATTTTTATGAAAAATAACAACGGTAAAAACTAAAAGACGTGTGTAAGAGGTAGACAATCGACAAAAGACAGTCGACGAAACAATTCCTGGCAATCCGTAATAAATTGATAACATTTTACAACAATGTAAATACAATAGTAAACAGAAATCCATTTCTAAATATAGAACGCGCTATCAACGTACTATATAAATCATTAGTACACAGCTTTATTTGTCCTGTCCTTTCAGTTTATTCGTATTTTGATTGGTAATTGCAATCATGGACCATGGAATCAGTCAGTTAAGTGAATTGTATACCTCAAAAACAACATACTAGCATATTAGAACAACAAAAATATGGTATAATATAAAATATAGATATATAATTATATAATTTAGCAACATCCATTAAATGTTTTAATTTAATCTGAAATTTCACTATGGGCCTAGGAGCCCCCTCCCCCTATATACATCACTGGGTCACATAGTACTAAATACGTTCAGTTGTGGAAGTGATTACTATATTATAAGTAATTAGAGTTTGCAATAATATCGCGCATCGAACCACGATCAACCATATGAGCTCTTAAGAATATCCGCGATAAAGAACATCGTCTTGCTACTGACAAGGTAACTGGTAAGTGATGTCAATTATATAACTACTCTGGTCAAGACGAATTTATTAATATTCTGCAAGGTTACAACATTATTTAGTAGTGGAGTAAGAATTGCATAAGCACATCCACATCGTGAAATCAACCCACCTTTTATTTACTACTTTTAACCCTTAATATTTTGCCACCTTAATTATATTCTACCACATATTGGCACTCAACTACCCTTTCCATTTATATCGAATTTCCTTTCTTGTCTTTTTAATTTTTATTCTACTACAGTAATATTACCATATACTTATTAAAAATAATGTAATTTTTGTAGTCTATAGCTGGTTTTAGTTAGGAGGACGGTTAAATGTAATGTAATATATTTTAATTGTTATTTATTAACTAAAAACATTATGCTGATAATATTATAGTCTCCAACATAAAAAATAATTTTTTTGGGTACCTATATTGTATAATTTTTAAATTAAATTTATACTCTAATGTCAGACATTAATGTGAATATTAGTACAATGGAAAGCTATACGAGATGAAAAATACTAATGAGAGAATTTATTATTCTTAAAAACTTTGATAGAAACATCTGGAGACTGGAATGAATTCCTGTTTCTATACTAATAAAAAAGTAAATTTAATAATATTGTGTTATCGAATTGTTTACATAGATTTTCTGATTCGGCCTGGTCATTATTTTAACAGTAAATAATTAAAATAATGAATATTATTAATGTTTTTAAAATATTATTAAAATCATTTACACTTTTTTGAAAATGTTCTGGAGCAAAACTTTTTTATAAGATTTTTGATTTTTAAGCATCGAAATAAACTGATTTGGAATATAGTCAAAAGTATATTTTTTCAAAAAGTTATTATTAATTTATGTAAGAAAAATATTTTTAGAACATTATTATATCCACATTTACGAGGTTCGCTGAAGATGAATTATCCGAAATGAACAAAACAGTTTATCGTTTAATGTGGATGATACATTGTTATTTGTATATTTTAACGAAAGACTAATAATAGAGACAAATATTTAATGTTAAAATGAACACTGTAAGCTAATAACCTATGAAGTTGATACTTCATCAATAAAGAAAAAAAATAAAGAAAATAATAGACAATATTTTTATATAAAATTTAAAATGTAGCGTTTTCAATTATTTTTTCTTAGAACTATTAAGTAATTGTAATTAATTTAACTACAACATTTTAAGGTTAGGCAATGAAGGAAAATAATTATACAGAAATTTAAAAAAAGTATTTCATAATAATATGTTTATCGGGATGGGCGTGGGAGGATAATAGGAAAACTCATTCATATTAATGAATTCGATTATTAACAATAAAAATGTATTCTTTGTTTGTGAGAACGCGTATTCATTTTCTTCACAATTGTTATTATTGGTATGCAAATAAAGAAATCATATAAAATTTAAGATTCAATTTATTGGGGAAATTTTGCACTGTTTAAGGAATGGAAAAAGTAGAAAAAATAATGAGGGAAATCAGAGGAATTGAATAATTGGAGCGTTACTTTACTGAAAAAGTGTGGCAACGCTTAATAACACGGTCGAATGATCAAACAAGTTGTATCCATTCACGTGGATAATTTTGTTTAATAAATTTGAAATAGACGACGAAGAAAATTGCTTGGCAGATGTTACAGACAAGATGACTAATTAAGTCAAGTCAAGGTTTTTTGATGTATATGAAAACATTTTACAAAAACGAACAAGATACAGAGATTATATTATTATGTGGGCGCTTGTTTCACTTAGCATACCTCAATGCACTATTATAGATAGTGTTATCCGATTATTTTCAAATGTTGGATGATACGAAACCCGTTGAATAAAAAAGTTAACCGTTCTAATAGTGATACTCGATTCGCCATACTGGGAAATGACAAAAATGACCTTTCCAACATTCGATTTGTGATTAGTGCTTACGATTTACTTTATATCCATAGGAGACTTACACGGAACGTTGAATTTAACTTTATACCTCCTAAAGTCTAAAAAAGCTTTTTTCGCTTTGTTCAGCTGCTTGTTTGCATTCAAATGCTTGTCAAAATTTGTCTCGATTATTCCCTTGTCAATGTCTCAAGCTTTTCCAAAATAATAGCAAATGGGTCGGTATAAAACAAAACCAATAAATAGAGGGCACTACAATCTCCTGCAGAATATGTAACGATCGAAGTTGTTTGATACGGGTTTTACAGTACATAAATTTCTAGTGCTCCCGATAAAAAGAGTTAAGGTGGCAAATTACAAACTGGAAACATTTATCTGAGTGACAAAATGGTTTGACATTAGTTTTATTACTGTGCATATATGTATACCATTCGGAGACAAATCACAGGAAGAAAATAAGGCGTTTTTCGTTTTCGTTGTAGAGAGATTTTTTTTTAGTTCTCAATGCCGTAATATTATGAATTTCTCAAAAATAATCTTGTGACAATAAATATAGAAGACGTAGTTTTGTTATTGGTTAGGAATAATAAAAACAGTACCTATACATATCATATTATTTCGTCATGATAAATATTAAAATATTATTAATTTTGAGTTATGATAAAGTGTCTTCCATAAAAAAAAAACTAAAATTCTTTAACTATAATAACAAATGTAATTTAAAATTGTATGAGTAATTTACTTAAAAACGCAGAGATAAACTATTGTTTGAATACATTTTACTTTAAGTGTCAGAATTACGAACTTTTGTTAGGACTCTAAACTTTAAACTAGGTATCTCTATCTATTGGCAGATGATGTTTAATGATATAAACGTCGGACGATTCGTCTCTTTTGCTTTTATAATTTTTTGAAATGCTATTAGTCGGAACTTAAAACTTGACGGTTCAGTAAAGTTATTTTTTCATGGTAATAAGAATAATTTAATTGAATATTTATTTGAACATAGTTCACACATACTATACATTTCTGTACGATCTTACAAAATAATGCTTTTAATGAATATTTGATAATTAAATAAATTCTTCGAATTTAATAATACTTATCATTTAAACCAATTAGATTTAGGTGTCTGTACTCATCAATATATCCATGCCGAAACAATAATATTATCTTATAGTTATTTTTACAATTACAAAAAAATAATATGATAAAATTGTGTGACTGAGATATTTTTATGTTATAACTTTAATATTTTTTTTTTAAATTTGTTAAAAACTATCCGATGCTGTCATGCTGAAAGACTGGAAGAACGAAAAATAAGATTACGTTTAAGGGCGAGAGATTACGCATTTGTGTTCAGAGAGTATAATAACAAGTAGTGAGTAAACTACGAATAAACATGTTTTATCGTTACACATGTGTAATAGATCGTTACAGATTTTTCTAAAACGTTTAGGTGGTTTATCTTCTATGGTAATTGCATTTTAAGCACAACGCAAACATTTTTATGGGTAGATCTTAATATTTTTCACATATCATAATAACCACACATTTATTTTTGTTGTTTTAAAAACAAGTATACATCTTTTGATAGGAAATGAAAAAAATGTTTACTAAATAATATTTTATTAGTATATTTTTTTATGGTATGTGCATAATGACCGCCTAGTGCCCAGAATGAGCAACTTCACTTTTCCTATAAAGAAATAATTATAAAAGTACACTCTTATCAGGAGGTAGGTATTGAATGTATATTTCGTGTTTGTGTACACTTAGATTAATATAAGATATTTTCATCGCGTGATATATTGTTCTTAAATGGCTATTGCTTATTAATTCAATATAATATTATGAATGTTTCAGTTTGTATCATTAGAGAAAATGTAGAGAAAAAATATAATGTATTAAAACTTAAAATATTGTTTCTCAACACTTTTTGATTCAAGCGATAAATCAACTAAATGGAAAAAAACTATTCGAAATTGCATATAGCATAATATTTACATATAAAATACATGTTGCATTTCAACGAATTAAAAAATTGAAAATAATGTTTTTATAAAAATAAGTACATACTACTTCAACGACACAATAGATTGTACTAAATTTTTTTGACATTATATAGTTTACGATGGTTTTTTTGGTTATATTTTGTTGAAGAATTTTGAACTATATATCAATACTAAAATACGAAATATTTTCCTGAACTGAAAATGTGTATAAACATAGGATACTAATGAGTAATGATTATTAAACCGATATTTTATTGTGCATAAATTATAAGCATTTGAATTTCGGACGATCGGAGTAGTGCTGCAATCATTTATAGATTCGCGTGCATCATACGGTCGTATGTTTCAGCCATAAAGGTGTAAATCTGAGCACCAAAAATGTGAAAATAAAATAAAAACATAACCTTTTACATAAAGTGCATAGGTACCTAATGCAATTGTTGAAAAATAAAAACGGTCCGTCACTCGACGACGGATCTCCTTATAATATTTTTTTGATTTCATAAAGTCGAAGACGTCAAGAAATCGATGCGGCGGCGTGGGAGGAGGCTTATAAAACCGATTCGGCGATTACAATAACAGTAAGTACCTAATAACAATAATTCGCAACAACAATAATAACGATTAATATTGTAAATATTATAATTCACCGGCCGAAGAGGTGCGCGAGGCGCACCGCCGCCGCCGGACAGCACCTCGAATCCGGAAAAGTCCGCTACGCTGCGCCACCGGTAACGTAAAACTCGCTCTGCGCGATTCCGCCACCGGGGCGGTGCGGGCCGGGCGGGAAAAAAGCTCGCCGCCGAATCATTTCCTACCCCGTCGTCGAACGCGAGCGCCGGTCTCGCACGTCTGTCCGTTTTTCGTCTCGTTTTTCGTCCGCTGTCGAGAACTTCGTCGTCGCGTGCCCCACGATATTATTATATTTTATAATATTGTAATATTGCCCCCGTCGTCGTCGTTGCATTCGCGCCGCACTCGTAAAACGTTTTCTCGTGTTCGTCTGGTGTGTTAATTTTGGTCTTTTGTTTGTTTGTTTGTTTTTTTTTTTTTGTCGAAGAAATTTTTTTCGCCCCCGTCCGGAAAAACCGAAATTGTTTCGTGAGTGCGCGTGTCCGTTTGTGTTAAGTTTGGTGTTTTTTTTTTCCACTGCTTGGAACCCGCACAGACCTGTGCTGCACGCCGCCGTCATGACATCCGCACTCCACTGCTCCGGACTCTGAGAGAGGTCAGTTGCTGTTGTTGTTGTTGTTGTTGTTGTTGTATGCGTCGACTTCCGGTCATATCCGGTGTAGGTTTTCGGGCGCGGACCGCGAAATCGAGCGTATACGGCCGTTGACGCGTCTTCGTGATCTACCGTGTCGTCCGCATTACAGAAAAATATCTTAAAATAATATGTGGACAAGACGGTGGGTACACGATGTTGGTTCCTGCGGCGACGTTGCTCGAATCTTACAAAATCCGTGTTATTATAAATTACTTTCGTACTCTTATTGTAATAATATAATATAATAAATGTATTTTTTCGTACACGGTAGTTAATGATGCACACACACATACACACACGCGCGCACACACGCATGAAGACAGATCGATATAGCAAGATATATATAATATACATACGGAATAACAAATCGGAAGAAAAAACACAATCTTTATAAAAGTTTATGCGTATAAAAACTTACAAATGAGTTTTTTCTCTATTCTACGAGTTTACCGACACAAGCGATTCGGTCGTATAAAAACTTTTTCACACGATCGCCACACTATAAACTGGTCACCCCCTCCCAACCGTCCCACGAAGAATGCCTTTTGAACGTCGATGGCTGTCGGCGTAAACTATTAAGCGGGTAGGTTTTAAAAATCCTACGAGATGCGTGTCCGGCTATAATAATTTACATCGCTTCTCGCAGGAATACAACCACAGCGCGTTTGAAAAATTTTAACGCTGCATAGAAAAACCGCAAACGTTTATGGGAGAAAACATTTTTTTTTTTTAAGTATGGGGGTTTTCAAACGTAAATGTTTGTAAACAATTTTTATATTTTAAAAATCCTTATTTTTAACACACTGTTTCACAAAAAAAAATACGAAAGTTTACATTTTAAAAGTTTTATTGAGGCGTGTGTGGCGTAAATGACCCACTCGTCGTGATGGTATGAAGCCGATGGACGTTTATATTAAATAATATACAATTGAATCAAAATACATACTATAAAATATAAACTATGCAGTGGTTGAACAATACCTGTCTAAGCCGCAGGGTGACCAGACGTCCCGTTTTTAGAAGATTTTTAATCCCGTAATTTACATATTATTATATTATAATGTTTGTGAAAAAAATATCGATGTATGAAACAAATATAAAACAGTTTTACTCCTATACATAATTAAAATAAGAAACCAAATTTATAAATAACAGATAACGCTTTTCTCGGAACGAACGTCGAATCCCAATCCCGACGAACAGTAAAATTAGCGATAAGCATGAGACATATTCCATGGAATAATATGTCGTTCTACGTTCTATGTAATATAATATTATTAAAATATTATTTATAATTTTGTAGTCAATGATATTAGATATTATAATTATTATTCTATTCTGTTCGTTATTGTTCATTAGTTATTACTCTCCACGGTAATGTGCATATGTGTGAATGTGTATGGATTATGGAAGGGTCCTGGTTTTTCTTTGGGGGGGGGGGAGGGAGTAACACATGTCCCGTTTCTTTATTTTCTTAATATGACAAGGGTGGTCTAAGGCAAATGCAAAAATCTTGTTGTTGATTAATCATCAATATAATAATTAATTAGCCGTTTAATCGCTTGACAAGTCACATGTCATTTAAGCTAAAATTATCTAAAAAAAATAATTTGGGTTCATATGTCTGTTGTAAAATAAAAAAACTGGATTTTTAATCAATATGAATTATTCACTGATAAAATTTGCAATATTGACATTATGAACTGTGAATCTAAAAATATAAGTAGCTACTTAAACAGTAGTTACTGTTTAAATATAAAATATTTAAGTTCTCTATAATTATTTAAAATCGGTACAAATCTAACTAATTTCGAGAAAAACTACTTCAGAACAGTGAGCAACAAAATACATTTTCTAGAGCATTAGATAGTAGGTACTTGATAGAGTGTAAACTAAATAATACAATATTTTGGTTTCTTAACAATTGTTGGATAGTAAATTAGTAAATATTTTAACTGGCTTTAATAGGCTGACTTAACTTGCTCTATTATCGGAAACATTTATACTTAGTTTGAACAAAACAAACGAAAATACGCTTTACCAATTAATTTGTAATTATATTCACACAAAAAGACTGTTTACAATTAGTTCTAATATTTGTGCAGCGCATTAAGGGAAAATAATCACTTATAATTGCTATAATTTTATTTATAATTACTATAAGGTGTTAACTGTTTTACAAATATGTTTTAAAAATGCCTATTAAAGTTCTAAAAATTTATTTATTTTTTAGCTTGAGAAATAAAAATGTGTAAAGCTTTCACGTATGTTTTAATATTTTTTATAGAATAATATATGTGAATTATGGAAAAATTATAATATTATATACTTACCGTTAAAATGCTAGTTAAAAAGTCTAAAACGTTTGAATAGCAATTGAAAGAGTATAATCGGAAAGTTAATTCAACTTTAAATTAATGCATTTTGAATTTAAATTCTCAAAAAAAAAAAGAATAAAAAAAAAAGAATAAAAATAAATAAATAAAAAATAGGAAATTTAATTTCGACTGAAATTAATTAGTTTTCCCTTTTATTTATTTACTATTAAATAAGGTAGTAGACTTACGTGCTTCATACATTATATTTTATATAAAATTAATAAAACAAACAGCGTGTGCTATTAACTAACTTAAACAATAATTACTATTATGTATCTAGGAATAAGCTTTTCTATTCAAACGGAAGTTTTTTAATAAATAAGAATCCTAATCAACATTATTTAATTTGTTCGTTCATAGAATTTTTAGTGACCTGGGATAAATTGTAGATAATTGTGGTTTAGGAAGCATAATCTTATTCTACAGCACTGTAACATATTTAGGTTTTACGAACTAGGTACTTCAAACTATGTTTTGAACTTTAAATGATTGAATTTCATTAGTAAATATTATTTTAATTAGATGCTGTACTGCAATACACAACATTATCTTTCACCCTATCTTTCATATTGTTGTTTTAATTTTGTTTATATTGTATACAATTATTATTATACTTGAATATTTGATGGATTTGAAATTATAGCTATTACCTTAGCTCAGATCAATATTATTCTACAAAATATATTATCGTTGATAAGCTTAAGAATATTTGTATGGACTCAAATGTAAAATATAATGCGTTTTTTTAGTTGTCCGCATAATAATATGTAATCTTCAATATTAAATGAAATATGTAAACTAATTCCTGATGAATTAATTAATTTAAAAAAAAAAATTGAATTAGTAATGCATAGTTATAGTATTTATGCAGTAACTATATTATTCTACATTGATATACTTCGGCATTTATAATATTATGCATTTTACAAATACTAAATCTTACTCAAAACGTTTTAACATGTTTTATGTTCAATTAATAATTTATTAATATTGTGTTGGTTTTCAAGTAAATGCTAAATTTCACTAGTTGTACATAATTTATTTCACAAAGAACATGAAAAAAATGTGACGATGTAAATATATATACCTAAATAAAAAAAGATAACACATTTTTTAATATATAAAATAAACTATAATATGTTAAGATTGACGATTTTTAAATAATTACGAATATTTTCATTTTTTGAACATGATTTTCTGGTCTTTATATTTAACCTTAAATTTACTTATAAAAATACTGTAAATCAGTGTAAAACGAATATACCATTATTATTATTTATTTATTATGGCGGTATTAGATTTTATTTATTATTTACGGAAGCGGTGTATTTGAGTATTTGAAAACTAGTATGTCTTTATTATATTATATGTTTTGACAAATGGATTAGTGGGAGATATATTATAGGTAGGTACAATAGTGTTGTTTTTATTGATTTGAGTGACATGAAAAGCAAGATTAATTTGAAAGAAAATAATATACTCAACATCTATATAATAGATGGTGTACAATCTAGTGTAGTATTTGGTTTTCTAATTCTTAAATAAACCCTTAGTCGTAAAGTATATATTATTAAGCCTTAAAAAAAATTAAAATGACTTTTTTATACCATTTTCTTACAGCATGATTTTTTTTCCTATATTGAATTCAATCAAATACAAATTATTTACATTTTACAATGTTTAAAGAATAGCTGGTTTTATTTGCATGGTGTTAGGTGTCGACGGTGCACACAATGCACGTGCATAATTTATTATTTTCCACAAAACATTTTCTGGTTTAACCGCATATTCAGTAGTAAGTTGCCCATTGTCAAAAGACATTTAATTATTAATTTTATTTTTGTTATAAAATGTTGTTAACCAACAACAACTGTCGTCCGTCCGTCCGTCCCGTTTCATTCGATCAGTTGCAGTGCGCACAATGACCACGGTTACCTCGTGAATAATAGTGCAACCCCAACATCATTAGTGGATAATAATAATTATACGAATTACACGAGTACTGAAGGGTACTTAGAATATAAGAAGGGGACTTTGCATTCAGAAATAATAATAATAATGCGACCGTGGCATATAGCTGCTTGCCGCGCGTTGTAATATTTTTCTACGTGTATATTATTATTATTCGAATATGTATACGCGCGTGCGTTTTTTGATGGCAGTCCAAACACAATTTTATTTAGGCGTGTCCTTCAAAGACGTATATATTATGCATTTTATTTATGAAAATTCTATAGGTTTAGGACCCTTTTTATGCCGTCGCGTATGTGGCATATATACATCACATGTGATATGTCATATGCTTGTATAGTGTACACTTTGTATTGTAGTAGTTGTACACGAAGGTGCCTCCCGGGTACAACCATAACATAATAATATAATATACGCTATATGGTATTCAATAATTTGATTTCGTGTTGACGATATTGTCTCACGTAATATGAGATTAAATGTTTCGAGTTTTCACGTCACTGTTGTAGGCTTAGTGAACTTACAGTCCTTGTTGTTTTACAATATCCAAAATTAACCCATTTCATGCATTACATATTGTATCATAATATACGTTAAAATAATTTGGCATAT